ACCCCGCGGGGCGGCGGGAGCAGCGCGGCCGCGGGCGCTGCGGGACGAGGTGACCCCCCCTGCGGGAGGCCCGGGCCGCGCTGCGGGGCGAGGTGACTCCCCCGCGGCTTCCAGAGCCTCGGTGGGGCCCTGGTGGGGCCTCCGTTTCCCCGGGGGTTGGCGTTCCTTGTGTGCGCGGGTTCCCTGCTCCCCGGCGCTGTCGTGGCATCTTCCACCCTCTCCGGAGCGAGGGAGTAGGTGTGCCAGGTGTTGGTGACCGGTGAGCTGGCGTTCGGCAGGTCTTCGCTTCGGCAGTGCAAAGCTTGGAGTGTAAGGTGTTGCTTTATGGGACGCTTTACAGTTTGTGCACCTCTGTTACTTACAGTGGAGCTGCTAGAGATGCAAAGGGGAACTTTGTGTTTAGAAGGAAGGATGGGAGATTTGTGTCAGCCTGACTTGCTGGTGGCATTTACTTTGTGGCTTGGTACCAGTCCTGTTGAAATTGTGCAGGGTAGTGGGGACAGCTGGTTCTGCTGTGCCAAGAGGGCAGAGAAGTTCAGCCATCCGTGTCATAGAATCAGAGTGGTTTGGGTTGGGGGTTGGAAGGCACCTTAGAGATCATCCAGTTCCAACCCCCCTGCATGGGCAGGGATGCCTCCCAGTAGACCAGGTTGCTCAAAGCCCCATCCAACCTGCCCTTGAACAGTCCAAGAAGTGAGGCATCCACAGCTTCTCTGGGCAGCCTGTGCCAGTGTCTCACCACTCTCACAGAAAATATTTTTTTTCCTAGGATCTAATCTAAATCTATCCTCTTTGAATTTAAAACTATTACCCCACATCCTACCACTACAAGCCCTTGTAAAAAAGTCTCTCTCCAGCTTTCCTGTAGCCCCTTCAAGTACTGGAAGGCTGCTATAAGGTCTCCCCGGAGCCTTCTCTTCTCCAGGCTGAACAGCCCCAACTCTCCTGGTGTTCTGCATGGTTGCTTCGGCATTCTGGGCTGCAGCTTCTGAGCACCTTGACTGTCAGGATCAAGAGCTTTAACTGAAGTGGGAACCAGTTTGCAGGATTAGGCTTTTACTTGGTAAGGCTGGAAAAGTAGTACTGATGTGTTCTGTGCTAATTGTCAGTTTCTTGGAGACTAATGTATAGTGACTTTTCAGACAGAACGATTGTAAAATCACACCAAAGGTAGAATTAAGGAAGGCCATAACAAGGGATGGGACAGACTTGTCCAGCCAATTAGCAGAGCAGACAAAACTTCTTGTAAACAGAACTTGCACAGGAGCCCTCCTGTATCAAACAGAGCTACTGTAAGAAAATGCATGTTTGAAAAAATAAATCATGTGAGAAAAAGTGTAAATCTCCTGGAGAAAAATCCTGTCTTTGGGACACATTGTACTGGAAATCATCTTCAGCATTAATTGAAGAAATTTATTATAACAGTCACCATGGCTGATAGTTGAGGTGTAAAAATAAGTTTAAAGTTAATGTAGACAGGCATCTCTTTGCTTCTAATGCTGTCAAGAGCCATGTCTAAAAAGAGCTCTTTTCTACAGCAGTCCTTCTCTGCTTCAGAAGC